TGGGCGGCTGCCTCTTCTGGGTGTGGGGAATGGGAGGAGATGCCGTGGTCGAGGGACTGGCTCTGCCCATGTCGGAGTCTGCTATCGGGCCGGCTGATGCCATTGTTCTGGGAGGGTGAGTCGACACGCGGCGAGCCGTCGATGCCGCCGAGTGTGTCGTCGGCATGGTGGTGGAGAAGGACGTCCTGGGGCGGCTGATCGTGAGACTCCATCATATCGACAGCGTCGTGGAACTGGGCCGGAGACCCCGCTGATAGCGTTGACGAATCCACGGTGGGCAATTTTGTCGGAGGTGTCGAAGGTTGAAGAAGGAGGGTGAGGCTGGAACGGAATGGTCCCCTAGGCTGACGGACAAACGAAGGGGGAGGGGTGGTGGTGTGGTGGGCTCCGGGTACGTGCCTAGAGCGAAAAGGAATGACGGGGGATTTAGAAGGGGGAGGGGGGGTTCGCGTGTCGGTGGGAGGAAGAGCGTGGCGGAGATCAGGCCTTGTCCGATGAGGGCTTCATGGGAGATGCCAGCTGGGAGGGGATGATGGGAAGCCGGGGTGGGCGTGTCAAGCAACACTGATGCGTGCCGTCGAAAGAAGTAGTGCTAGACGTAGTCGGTGGGTGCTGGTCAGGCTGGGCTTGTCAGCGGATGACGATGGGAGGGAGCGCAGGGGAAGGGGCAGAGCTAGCCATGGCCTAGCGGGACTTCTCACGTTGCACAGCACGAGCAACAATAACGAGGTCTTGTTGGGGTTATGGTTGGCGCCCGTTTTTGTTATCGTGGGATGGGTCGAGTCGAGTTGGGTGGGTTATTTCGAACGTCGGAATCGGTGAGGTTCAAGATCGAGAGAGAGGTTCTGGCCACTTTGGTCGAGTTGGGCCAAGCGTCGTCTTCGAGTTCAGAAGGATGCAAAGACACAAGTAATAAGGGAACGACAAGTTGAACCAGGGCCAGGAACGAAAGGGAAGACAGGGGGGGGGGCCTAAAGTGAATGGGATGGAATGGATGTAGGAGGGGGGGAGGACGAGGATGAGCAGCACCAAGCACCTGGATGCAATTGTGGGATGTGGATGTCGCAAAAGGGGAGTCGAGTCGCAATGCAACAGGTCAGGGTGCCCAACCAAGAGGGTTTCACTGGCTGACAGGACACCGAGACTTCGGCGGCGGCGAGGTTTAGGGTGTGTTAGGGGGCGCCAGCGCACCTGTTTTAGGCGCTTGAGGCAGATCCAGCACCCGATTTGCAGGGGGTGAACCAGCTGAATGCTAGGACCAGGGGCCAGAGGGCTGCAAATGACGAAATATGACATGCTAGTGATAGGGCGATGCATGTAACGGGTTGAGACGCGACGCGTGCGACACTGGCTCACTTCGATGGGAGAAGCAACCATTCTACAGCAGCAGTGGAGTCGGAGAGTGCTCCGACGAGAGTTGTTTCTGTTGTGAATGTCATCCGCCTTGGGTTGCTATTCGTATTGAAAGGCTGTCAGAAACATAATGATTGATGAAGGGGCCCCTAGTAGCGCCTCTGCCTGCACCTCACCATTTCACAAGCAAAGCGCAACATGGATTTGTGTGTTTACCTCAGTGCCGAATTTGACCATGTAAACAGTGACAACGCACGTATATGTAGCACTGCAAGAATAGTACTCATACCTTGTTAGGTAGGGCCAATACGGACCGCGCTGAGCCAATCCAAGATGCATGTGACACGACACCAATCCAAGAAACCTCATGGCATTGAAGCTCGTCCCAAAATGCATGTCTGCTTGATCTCGATCGCAGACTGTTCGGCTCGCTATCGTATTGTCACACTAGCCCGAGGCTCCGCCCAGAGCATGAATCTCAATCAGCCCAGAACACATCACCAGCACTCCTCGTTTGTTCCAGGGCATGACCCCTTCTGAGGACCAGCCACGAACGCGGGGCAGCTTCAGGGCTCCCATTGGGCCTTATACCCCTCGCAGTCGGTCCCCCGGTCCGACCGTGCTCCGACCTTACTAAGCCGGCCCAAACCCTGCAGCAGCCAATGACGGCGTAGCAGCTCCACCTCAGGTTGGCCGATGTGTGCCGAGAGCAAGCAAAAGAGTCAAGCCATTATCATGGCAGTAGGAACGAGAGCTCCTCCTTCCCGCCCCAGGTTCCCGCTTTGAGTGCCGTCCAACTCCTACATCATCCCACGATATCGCCAGACTCGCCCCCCTCCCCGCGCCTTTCACACATTTTCGACATCGCTACAATGGCCTCAATTGCTCGCTGCGTCAGGGCTGCCCGCCCCTCGGTCCTGTCGGCCGTCGTCAAGCCCGCTGCCCGCCCCGTCATGGCCCGCCCTGCGCAGAGGACCTTTGCGACGACACCTGCCGGTACATGCTCCCCTGCGTCACCTCCTGCCCCTTCCCTTCCTATCTTTCGACGTGCTAATTGATCAGCTCTCATCCGCAAGTACACCAAGGACCACGAGTGGATCGACCTCGCGGCCGACAACAAGACGGGCGTCATCGGCATCTCTGAGTACGCCGCCGAGGCTCTC